ACAGGGTTGAGCTTATTCTCTTAATGAGTTATAGGTGTGTTTTGAGAATAAACCAATCAGAGTCTCATCTCCCATTCCCTTTAAGAGACAGTTGCGTCGCGCCTTAAGCGCATTTGCTATTTACATGGCGGACTTTGTAAGTGGAAAAACTGAACAGTTCACTGGCGAGAAAACAGTTAAACAGACCATCTACTGCGCAAGGATGAGAGATGAGCCTCCTCATTCTTTACTTTCACTCTCATGGATAGGGAAACATGCTGTATGCACAGACATCCATTAGCCTATACATAATTAGTTTAGTTTATAAAGCACAAAAATTTGTTGCAAAACTATTTCTAAATTCAGTTCTAATTTCCAGCAAACTAATAAATAAAGAATAATAACGAAGTGTGTTCAAAAAACTGAGTTATATCCAAATACACATGCTGTGCCCCATATGGTCTAAAACCTGACAGGTGGACAAATCTAAGCTTGTTTTGAACAAAAACAAATATAAATATGCATTTAAAAAATAATATTGCTAATAAAAATAACATTATACAAAAGCAAATTGTCATGAACAAACTAAAAAAGCCTCCCAAGATGAAGAAGGTATGGAGGCAGTGGTTTTTATATTTGTGTAGGCTAGAAAATAATAATTTTAATAATATTTTAATCCTTTAATTCTTTTTCATTTGTAAAGATATTTACGTGTTACTGTACACCCTGTACGTATTTAACAATGTAAGCGAGGCCCACAAATAACGCGCTCTGCGCTGGACTATAGATCTGCTTTGATATGGTCTATTGAACAGACTTATTTAGTTCAATGTGCAATTTAGCAATGTGCCTTAATACACCTCCTTTTTTGGACCAGAATGCCAGTGGGCGCACATATGAGCGCAAATGCATTTGCTATTTAAACAGCGCGGTGCAAAACGTTAAAACGACTCTTGTGCCAAGCTGAAACTGGCAAACAAAATTTGCGTCGCGCCTTGCGCATCATTGCGCAGGGTGTGTGATCAGGCCCATAATGTGAATGAAGGCCAGAGTTGAGTCTGTTTCTTATACAAATCAATAATCTATTCAGAATACTTGGATTTAACCACTGCATTCATATTTATTTGTTTATTTTTATCTCTGTACAAAGGTTTTGAAGGGTTGGGAGATTTTAGTGAATACTTTCAAAATTTTGAAATTGATGTGATTTCCAGGCATTTTAGATAAAATATGTTTTATTGTTATTTGCATTAATTCTGAATTCATGTTTCTCGAGCTTAAAATTGTACCTTACAAGGCTCATGCAATATCATTCAAAAGTCTTTTTTTTATATACAATTTATTATTTTTGAAAGATGTATTAGTCAGAAAGGATGCATTTATTTGATCAGTTAAAAGTGACATTTGTGAAAGTAAACTAATTCTAAAATATTATTTTAAATTTGAAGGAAATTGTTCTCCTCCTGCTGGCGTGGGTTTTCTCCAGGTGCTCTGCTTTACCCACAGTCCAAACACATGCACTATAGGTGAATTCGGTAAGCTAATTGGCCGTGAATGTAAGTGTGTGAATGAGAGTGTGTGGGTGTTTCCTGGTGATGCGTTGCAGCTGAAGGGCATCCATTACGTAAAACATACACTATGCTAGATAAGTTGGCGGTTCATTCCACTGTGGCGACCACTAATTAATAAAGAGACTAAGCCGAAAAGAAAATGAATGAATGAAAAAAACAATCTTCCATTGCCATCACAGCAGTAAACTACATTTACAAATTTATTAAAATACAAAACATATTTTAAATCCTAAACACTGTTGCATTTATGTCTGTTTCATGTCTGTTTTGTAGATTTATTGTTGATTAGTTGTTTCCAAGTATGCCTTATCCTGCTTTTCCTTAGAATTTACCAATAAACATTCAGAGATCAGAGCCAACTCTCATTTAGTTTCTGAATTAAGCCAGGTGATTATGAATTTTTCTTTTTAAATATTCCAAAATCTTTTAATATAAATTCACAATTAATATTATAACTAAATATTTCACAAAATTCCATTCATTTCGATCAATCTATACTAATACCGTATGGTGAGCATAACAAACTTTCAAAACATAAAATCAAATCTTATTTTAAACAGTAGTATCTACACTAACATGCAACTCAACACGAGTCTACTTGAGCTGTGCTTGTTGTTTACAGTAAACTTCTCTGCCCCTCTTTCAATAACAGATCGATAGCAGTCCTTGTAGCACAGTTCCAAACATAGCAAGCGCACAACATGAAACCGACAAGCCATCAGTGCAACCCAAGCTGACATCACAGCCAGAGTGTCTGTGTTTACCACGATGAGCGCTCAACACATGGATCTATCCATCGACCTATTGCAATAGTTGGCGGTATCTATCATATGCACTCTTACACCCAGGTAGGAGTCGGATTAATTAGCCGGCGTGACCATGCATGACAGATGAGCGTATGCGTGTGTTCTTTTGCGATTATTTGTAGAGGCAAATGTCCTGGTTCTGTCACCATCCACGTGTGTGCAACCCAAACCAAAGCCAGCCTCTTTAAAGTGATTATTCAACCGAGAACATGTTCACACACACACACATGCACACTTGTACAGCAATATTTATGGGGACTTTCCATTGACGTAATGGTTTTTTATACTGCAAAAACTGCATATTCTATCAACCCCTACCCCAAAACTTCAACTATTTGTACACATTCAAGAGAGATTCTGGAATTTATGAGCTGCTTTGAAACAAAATGTCCCCACAAGGTCATAATTCACTGGTATTACCACTACATAAGGAATACCAGGTAGACGCACACACATGCATGTTGGTTTTGGTGGTTTATGAGGACTCTGTATTCTGTTTTGATGTTGATGATAAAAAAATAATGTATTTTAAACCATAAGATTTATTTTATGGTCTTAACTTTCCTAGAAACACAACTCTCACAGGAAACCTGTGGCAAATCTTGTGACTAGATCACGTTACGTAAGATTTTTGGTAACATTTTATAATCCCTATACACTATGAATCATCTATTAAGCATTAGCAAAAATTTGTTAAGCATTACCTCTACATTAATAGATGTTAGTAAGCAGTCTATAACTGCAGATATAAATGCTCTATTCTCGATTTATAAGCACATTTAAAATGTATATAATAATACATATTATATTTGTATAATATGTATTATGTATAAATTGTATATAATAATACAAAATTCTTTCATACTTTGTTACTGATTATTTTTACATTAAAAAAATTAAGTATCACATTATTTACAAATCATTTGTATTAAAGAGTAGCTGGGTTTTTTAGGATCATGCAGAATGAGTTAGTAAATGACCAACAAATATTCAAATCAACATTCATATATTATTATTCAATCATATACTAATAGTTAATTTATATGTTAATAAACGCTTTCTTAATTTTACCTCATCTAGTTTTGTGACCTAATCTAAAGTGAGGATTATTTATGCTTATATTATTCTTATATATGCTTATATGCTTATGCTTGAGGGTTTATATTTTTTAATCCTTAATAAATCACAATTAAAGGCTTGGTATCAAAGGAACAATAATCTTTGCAATCGTACCTAAAAGGTAAAATTACTGTAAAGTTTAAACATCGCCGAATAACAGGAGCGTCAGTATAACATAAAACAACAATATAATAATTATAAAATATCATACTATAAAATATAATATGATACAACATTTCAATGTTATTTAGCGATGTTTAAACTGCACAGTTATTTTATTGTAGTTAATATTGCAAAGATTTATTTTCATTTGATACAGTTTCATTTGTGCATCTTCAAATGAATAGAAATGAGTAAAGTGGTTTATTTTCTTTTTTTCCTGTTTAGAATATAACTTTAGGAGCTTTAATAAGCTTAAGATCCTTTAATTGTTCTTTATAAGAGATTTATAAAGCATAAATTGTCCTCACTTTAGATAAGATAAAGATAAGTTAATAAAGCATTTATTAACGTACAAATTAACTATTAGTATATGGCTGAATAATAAGATATATAAATGTTAATTTGAATAGTTTATTAATCATTCTGACAGATCTTAAAAACCAGCAACTTTTCTCAAATAAATGATTTGTAAATTATTAGCCCTCCTTTGATTTTTTTTTCTTCTTTTTTTTATATTCCCCAAATGATGTTTAACAGAGCAAGGACATTTTCACAATATGGCTGATAATATTTTTCTTCTGGAGAAAGTCTTATTTATTTTATTTTGAATTGAATAAATTCAGTTTAGAATTTTTATAAAACATTTTAAGGTTAAAATCATTAGCCCCTTTAAGTTGTATTTTTACGATAGTCTACGGAACAAACCATCGGTATACAATAACTTGCCTAATTACCATAACCTGCCTAGTTAACCTATTTAACCTAGTTAAGCCTTTAAATATCACTTTAAGCTGTATAGAAGTAAATATCTAGTCAAATATTATTTACTGTCATCATGACAAAGATAAAATAACTCCGCTATTAGAAATGAGTGATGAAAATTATTATGTTTAGAAATGTGTTGAACAAATCTTCTCTCCTTTAAACAGAAACTGGAGATAAAAATAAACAGGGGGCTAATAATTTAGGGGGGTTAATAATTCTGACTTCAACTGTATATATATATATGCACTTATAAGTCAAGAATAGAGCATTTGTTATAAACTGCTTATGAACATCTGTCAATGTAGAGTTACAGATAGTTCATTGACTATTTGCTAATGCTTAATAAATGATTCATAGTATGTAGTTAATACAAAATGTTACTTGATTTTTAACAGATTTGAATTGAAAGGACACAAGGCATATCCTCACAAGCCACCTCAGCATTGCAATATCTAGATCATATATGTCATTACACAAATTTGTATCTTCATAACCCACCATAATAAGTACACAGCATGCACTTCACCCCACAAAAATCATCCACATGTTCTGCTAATTTTCCAGAAACTGTAATGTATTCAACCAAAATAGAAGGCAGTAAAATCTACTTGGTTTGGAGCTGCTTTTTAAAAGCTCTGCTATTGAGGGCGCATCGGTGAGACTGTGGTCTCTGCAAATGCCAACTTCAGAGAGAGAGAGAGAGAGAGAGAGAGATCGCAAACGAGAGAGAGAGAGAGAGAAAAAGAGAGAGAGCGGGTGTGAAAAACTGCAGCAAAGATCAGATAGCAGACAAGGGTGAGAGAGAGTCAGAGAGAGAGAGAGAGAGAAGAGAGAGCAGTGTTTTAAATGTTCAAAGAGAGAATCGTTTGCGAGGTGTTGCACGGAAACATTAGGAAATCTTAGCCATGCATGCATAAGCCTCAGGATGACCACGACTGAGCTGAAGATCTCTGGAACCTGTTAGCACACAGATAAGACCCTCCTTCCAATATATGCGTACATGTGCGCGACTTTCCATCTCTGTGTGTGTGACGCTAAAGATGAGGACCTCGCTGGACAGTCAGGATCCCTTTTCTTCCGCTAAGGGAACCATGTTATTGGTGGGGGAGCTGTGAGAAACTCTGCGGAATAATGCTTTAGTTCAACTTCAGTTGTTAGGTATTTCCATGCACACGAGGGGAAGAGAAAAGGTAAGCAGAAGGTGTTTCGGTGTTGTTGAGTATGCATGTTCGTCAGCTTCTGTCTCACACGGACAGTCCTACAGGTATTTTCTGCAACCTGTAGGTGTTTCTTTGATGTCTGCGAGCGTTTCATGTGCCGAAGGTGATGCTCATCAACACTGCATGCTCTGTCATTTTCACCGTGTGTCATCAAATCAATGAGAGGCTGTCGCAGCGTTCCTGGAATATGCTGGAAAATATCCCTGATCTTAAAACTCGTATGAAAAGACTATATTTAGAATAGGTCAGAGGTAATTCAAATCCTGGTTGTGCAAACGCCGGCACCTGTTTGCACGGACACAGCGTGACAAACCAAACCAAATTGTCTGGTTTAAAAAAATCCATCTGAATTTTTTGGAGAAAAAAGTCAGTAGATGCAACTCCATGTTAGCGCTGGCGCATATGGCGAGGGTGATACGAGTTCATAAAGTTTATTAAAGGAGAGCGACGCCGCTCTTCAGAGACTGTGGAAAGGGTTTGGAGGGAGGAGCAACAAGGAGAAATAGCTGAAGTCTGTCAACTGCCTGTCAAACTTCTCACAATCTGTCATCACTTTGATTCCTCGGCGTATTTGTCATTTCGGGACTGGAGGAGCAGTTGGAAGGGTGGAATGTGTTAAATGCGCTTGAGAATTAAACCGACGGGTGTCCCTTTTGATTCTGTGTGCATGGAAAGCAGAAAAAGGAAACAGAATGTTCTGTTCAGATGAAGTTTCTGTCGAGCACCACCACAGGGTACAGTTATCTTCCTCTGATACCCAGACCATCTCATGCATATCAGAAGAGCATCTTTACCCACAATTACTTTGCAATACAACAAAGAAGTGCATTAGATTAATCATATCCATGCAAATGCACCTAATTTTAAATGTAATTATTAATAATTAATAATAATATTAATAATTATTATTATAGCTGATTTCATTCATTTCCTTTCCGGCTTAGTCCGTTTATTAATCTAGGGATGCCACAGCGGAATGAACCACCAACTTATCCAGCATATGTTTTATACAGCGGATGCCTTTCCAGCTGCAACCCATCACTGGGAAACATCCATACACTACCACTCACTACGACCAATTTACCTTACCCAATTCACCTATAGCGCATGTCTTTGGACTTGTGGGGGAAACTGGAGCACCTGGAGGAAACCCACGCAAACACAGGGAGAACATGCAGACTCCACACAGAAATGCCAAATGACCAGCCAAGGCTTGAACCTGCGACCTTCTTGCTGTGAGGCGATTACGCTACTCACTGCACCACTGTGCTTACCCTTATAGATGATTTATAAAATCTAAATCAATTTGTTTGAAGCATATTCTAGGTCCGAGTAGACAATTTCTACATTTATTTTATTGTAAAATTATTCAGGTTTAAAAGAAATTGATGACATATAATGGATTTTTAATGGCATGAAGTATTTGTTTTTTATCTAGTGCAAAACACTTTTCCAATAATACAGCAAATGCAAAAAATAAAAAAATAAATAATATGAATTAGTAATATTTTATATTATATACAGTTAAAGTCAGAAATATTAGCCCCCCCTTTAAATATTTTATTCTTTCTTAACAATTTGCTAAATAATGTTTGACAGAGCAAGGGATTTTCACAGTATGTCTGATAATATTTTTCTCTTCTGGAGAAAGTCTTATTTGTTTTATTTCAGCAAAATAAAAGCAGTTTTTAATTTTTTTAACACCATTTTAAGGTCAATATTATTAGCCCCTTTTAAGCTGTATATTTTTTCGAAAGTCTACAGAACAAACCATCGTTATACAATAACTTGCCTAATTACCCTAACCTGCCTAGTTAACCTAATTAACCTAGTAAAGCCTTTATATGTCACTTTAAGCTGTATAGAAGTGTCTTGAAAAATATCTAGTCAAATATTATTTACTGTCATCATGGCAAAGATAAAATAAATCAGTTATTAGAGATGAGTTAATAAAAATATTATGTTTAGAAATGCGTTGAAAAAAAATCTTCACTCAGTTAAACAGAAATTGGGGAAAAAATTAACAGGATTAACAGGGGGGCTAATAATTCTGACTTCAACTGTAAGAGCAAAGATGTATCTCAGTGATTTTAAGTATCACCTTGTGATGTATTTCATTCTTAGTTCTAATATTTTATATGTATAGGGAAAATGGATTTATTATTTTCTAACTTATATAATGTTTTATTTTATATGCAGTATTATACTGTAGTTGTTGCCCGGTTTAAAATGTCACCGGGCGTCACGGTGGCACAGTGGGTAGCACGATCACCTCACTGCAAGAAGGTCGCTGATTCGAGCCTCGGCTGGTCAGTTGGCATTTCTGTGTGGAGTTTGCATGTTCACCCTGTGTTTGCGTGGGTTTCCTCCAGTTGCTCCGGTTTCCCCCAAAAATCCAAAGACATGCACAATAGGTGAATTGAGTAAGCTACCATAGTGTATGTGTGTGAATGAGTGTGTATAGATGTTTCCTAGTGATGGGTTGCAGCTAGAAGGGTGTCCACTGTGTAAAACATATGCTGGATAAGTTGGCGGTTCATTCCGCTGTGGCGACCCCAGATTAATAAAGAGACAAAGCTGAAATGAAAAGGAATGAATGAATGAATGAATAAGTTAATGAATGAATAAAAATGTCACCACACATTTCAGCCTTCACTACTGATGAAAAACATAAGAAATTCTGTAGATCTGTGTATTCAAGTTGAGAAAAGAGAAATTTCTGATAAAATGAGTTACAATAATAACACAAACTTCACTCTTTTTAAGCATAAATAGTACAAATAACAGTGAAAAATTATTTTAAGAGAAGTTTCGTAAGGGGCGAGTAAGGGGTGCAGTAGGTAGTGCTGTCGCCTCACAGCAAGAAGGCTGCTGGGTCGCGGGTTCGAACCTCGGCTCAGTTGGCGTTTCTGTGTGGAGTTTGCATGTTCTCCCTGCCTCGCGTGGGTTTCCTCCGGGTGCTCCGGTTTCCCCCACAGTCCAAAGACATGCGGTACAGGTGATATGGGTAGGCTAAATTGTCCGTAGTGTATGAGTGTGTGTGTGTGAATGTGTGTGTGGATGTTTCCGCTCCGTTCATTCCGCTGTGGCGACCCCGGATTAATAAAGGGACTAAGCCGACAAGAAAATTAATGAATGAATGAAGTTTCGTAAACTAATTTCAAGAGGAGCATGTGATATGATTGAGCACGACTGGCTGCTCATCTGTAATCAATAATAATCCAATCAGAGGGATCCGAGCTTTCAATAAATGAACCGATTTTCCCTACTGCTCTATTTTCGTTTTGGAAGAATCCCCCCTCCACCCCATCTCCTCCTTTTCCTCCCTTTCAAGACCTACCTGATCTCAGACCCCCTTATATGCTTATTGACCATGCGGGAGCCCTGGGCTCAATTATATCAGAGCTCAGAGTTCTCTCCGTATGACAGCATGCCAAACCTGCTAATGATGCTAAGCATAGTTACATGGGAACTCTTGAAATGAGAATTAACAGAATTTAAAATCTTAAAACAATATTTGTAAGACCTTCAGCCATCACAGAACACGGATTACTCCATCTTTCCTTATCCCAGCAGTACTGTGCTATCAAACGACTGAATGGTTACAGGATCTGCTGACATTTAGATAGGAATTAGCTGACATCACATCAGGATGAAGTGAAGACGCCGTCAGCTGCAAATCTATTCTCACGGCTATCACTGAAAAACTTATTAAGTGCTCAACTGTCTCTCTCTTCTGTCAATTTTGAGTGATTGGCCACCTGGATGATGACTAAAATACCACTGCATGAAGCCGACAGTCACCCCTCAAACAAACACACACACACCTACACACAAACACACACGCAAAATTTCTACCAGACAGGTTTCCATGGAAACCTCTATATCCCTTCAGCTTTTCATGCGATGCTTGTATTTCCATGTACTGTAAGATCTATCCAGCTTTTCTTAAATGCGCATCAAGGAAATATGTTTTTCTCATTATCACTCTCGTCAATTCTGAGGCTTCTTAGTTATTCACACTCACCAACACAGCAGCACCTGACACTACCCAGCCCCCTGTATGTGTGTGCGTCTGTGTATATGTGTGCATGCATGTGTGTTTTGACGTGTCTCTTGTCAGTACAGTATGTCTTGGAGCGCAGATTCTTGTAAGTGTGTGTGTGTGCGTGCAGTAGACTCACTGAGACAGGCGTCTATTATTAGAAAGACAGATCACTTGACTCAGGCACTGGCTAGACGCCTAAATCTGGACCCCAACGGCTCAGAGCTCTGTCAAAAGAAAAAAAAAACAGCAAATTGGCATGATGATGATGATGATGATAATGATAGCAATAAGCACTCCAGCACAGCTAGGAGGAGTGTGGACTTGAGCGCTTCACTGTGCATAAAGGTGCAGAGTTTCACAGGAGAAGTGGGAAATTTCTTTAATTAGCTACATCTGCTGAGAAACAGGCAGACGACAGATCTGCACATCTGCTCCTTCCTCACTCACACTCACAGAGTAGCACTTTAGTGCACACAGGCTTGCAGTCGAGTAACACACTTTTTTAGCTCCAATGACGAATTGTGAGATTTATTTTTGGCCCAATTTTGGCCTGTATCCGTCAGGTTTCCCATTTTCTTTTTTTAGCTTGATACTTTAAAGTGCTTTAATTAGGGATGTACTGATTAGGCATGGGCCGGTATAAGATTCTGACGGTATGATAACCTTGGATAAAAATATCACGGCTTCGGGGTATTGTGATTACTGCTCTAAAATATATTCAATTTTACATTGTTTGCAACCACTTACTTTAGAAATCTTAAGTAAATTCAATGAATCATTTTTTTCTGCTTAAGTTAACCCTGTTTGTGAATTTGTGTTTATTTATTTAATTATTTGACATGGACATCACAATTACACTGGACAACCAAATGCATTTAAGCATTTTAGCAGACTTGCTAATTCTCAACACCAGTCCACAGGAGGCTTGACAACATGAAAATTAAATAGATACATATACACACACAACATTATAATTCTTTACATATAATTACTGAAGGCAGAAGCACTACTAAACATTTTTATTACTTTCTAATTTTGGGCCTACAGGTAAATCAGTCCACAATTTGGTTCCCTTAACAAAGAAAACAGATTGACCAAATCAGGTCTTACACTTTGGCACTAGACAGTCACCATTAGCAGTTGCTCGTGTGACTCTGTTAGACATTTGATGCCTACTGATTAGATCTGAAAACACCATTAGAAAATGATTATGTAAACATTTAAAAAACTATTTAAGATGATTCAATTGAATAAAACTATCAAAACTAAAAATGTTGTTTAAATAAAACACTACAATGATGCCATTGCATAGGCTTTCAGTCCACAATTTTAACTGCTTGTTTATATATCGAGTCAATAGGTTTCAATGTAGTTAAAGAAGCGTGTGCCCTTGATGTAGTGCAAAATGACAAGTGAAAGAATATCATTGTGTGCATGTATACTTTTGCAGTTTGATACTTTAAAAATCTTCTAATAAAATTAAAACAGTTTAGATTTGGCTTAACCTTCTTGTATTTTTAACATGACTATCCAATTTTAAGTGAATGTCTACAGTTATCAGGCCCTTTCTAAAATAAAAGTATTTAAAAACATGTGGATGCTACTTTAATGTGCCCTGCAGGCTTTTTAGGGATATGTGAAAGCATGAGCACAACTGTTTGTCAAGCAAAGCTTGCATGACTGATGTAATGTTTTGCTTCATCCTCAGGCAACACGAACTGATCCAGAGCTGCGTTGGTACTCTCTCCTGCTTACGGACTGCTCACAGTCAGGCAGAGTGGCATGAGTGTGGGCAAGCCCCACCGCTATAACATCGTGTCATCGTCGGAGGAGGACGTGGGCCGTCACGGCACCATGCCCGCCCTCGGCAATGGCTTCGGAAATGGCAAGATCCAGACCCGGCGGAAGCTGCGGAGCCGCTTCGTTAACAAAACCGGCCAATGCAATGTCAGCTTCGCTCACATGGACGAGCAATCCCAGCGATACCTCGCTGACATCTTCACCACCTGCGTGGACAGTCGCTGGCGCTGGATGTTTCTACTTTTCTCCCTCGCATTTGTCATCTCCTGGTTAGCGTTCGGATTTGCGTTCTGGCTTATCGCTCTTGTCCATGGTGATCTAGAGAAACCTCAAGAAAACTTCACGCCATGCGTCATGCAGGTCAACAGCTTCGTCGCAGCGTTTTTGTTCTCAGTTGAGACGCAAACAACAATTGGCTACGGATTTCGCTGCGTGACTGAGGAGTGTCCTTTAGCTGTGTTTATGGTCGTCTTCCAGTCCATTGTGGGCTGCATTATTGACTCGTTCATGATTGGTGCAATCATGGCAAAAATGGCGCGACCTAAAAAACGTGCAGAAACGATACTGTTCTCGCATAACGCCGTCATCTCAATGCGCGATGGGAAGCTCTGCCTCATGTGGCGGGTTGGGAACTTGAGGAAGAGTCACATTGTTGAGGCTCATGTGCGGGCGCAACTTATTAAACCCCGAATTACAGAAGAGGGCGAGTACATACCTTTGGATCAAATTGACATCAATGTTGGGTACGACCAAGGTCTGGACCGCATCTTCTTGGTCGCTCCCCTCACCATCCTCCATGAGATAAATGAGGAGAGTCCGCTGTTTGGAATCAACCAGCAGGATCTGGAAACATCTGATTTTGAGATTGTGGTCATACTGGAAGGAATGGTGGAGGCGACTGCCATGACGGCTCAGGTGCGCAGCTCCTACCTGTCCAGTGAGATCTTATGGGGCCATCGCTTTGAGCCTGTGGTATTCGAGGAGCGCAACCAGTATAAGGTGGACTATTCGCACTTTCATAAAACCTACGAGGTGCCCTCGACGCCACGCTGCAGCGCCAAAGACCTGGAAGACAACAAATCCTTGGAGTCCGGTGCCAACTTCTGCTATGAGAATGAGTTAGCTTTTATTAGCAGGGATGAGGAGGAGCAAGAGGAGGACAGGGGTGAGAGGGGGACTGAGCTAGAGACACTTTCAGCCAATCTGAACTTTGATCAGAGGTCGTATCACAAAGAGTCTGAAATTTGACCCCAGATCAAAGTCTTTGCTTTATTGTAGACTCGATAGCCTATTCTTTTAAGGGCTTTTCACACTGCGCTTAACCCCGGTTCATCGTCATTCTAAAAACCACTTTAATCCATGGGTAACAACATGTTTCACACCTGTAATTTGAAAGCAGTTTTAGCCCCAGGGTTTTAAAACCCTGCTCCGGAGCTGGGTTTAGCACAGCATTTGAGGTGTTAATCCTGGATTGTGGTGCTAAATTTGTTCAGTGTGTAATGGAGTGGTTTTTGTTTGCTGCTGCTGGATTCTTGGCAACAGACGGCCAATCAGAAACTGATCAGCGAGGTTCAAGTCATGCTATTTATAAATGCAGCAGAAACAGTAGTAAGTGAGAGAAAAGTCAGAAAAATTGTAATCAGAACATTGTAAGCTGGCATACTTTGCTCCTTGCTTTCATTCATTTGTACTTTTGCCTTTGTTTTCTTGCCTTTGCGTATCTCACGAGACTTAAAATAACTAAAAACCTACCCGGTGACATAAAGCTGCCAAGATGTGGAAATGCAGTGTAAAAGTTACCTGCTGGTCAGCCAATTAGCGACAGTGACAGCGACAAATATCCAAATAAGAACCGTTAATCTGGGGTTTAGGAATGTACAGCATGAAACGTCTGTTTGTGAATACCCAGGATTATTCGTTTTACCACTAGTATGGTATGAGCAGTGTGAAACATGATTACAAATAACCCAAGACTCAGGCTCCGTTCACCCTAATATGTTTTAGTTTTAAAACGCATAAGTTTTGCTTCGGTTACGCCTTTAGTCCACATTACCCCAGAGATTTTAAGCGCCAAAACCTGAGCTTTTTGAAAAAACGCTGAAGAGGCTGTTTCCATTTTAAATTGCTGCTGCTCCGTGTCAGTGTGGATGTGGAAAAAACGGAGACATCTGAAAATGGAGGCATGGCTGCAGACATGCACTTATCTGACTGGGGCTTTTTCCTCAATATTAACTCAAAAGTTACTCAAAGTACTCAAAGTTCAGTCTTGCATCCTTTCCTGAAGTACAGACTTCGCAAGTTTGATATGCAAAATAAACTCCCAAAGACACGTCAGGTAAATCTTCAAAGGGAACAGTCTAGACTACTTTATTATGCCGTTCACATCACCCTGGATATCTTAACAATAAAATGAAAACATGATATAAGTTACTGCCTATTTTCATTTTGATATCAGCAGTTTAACAGACACCAAAAATGTTGAGGTGTCGTGTAGCTACATATTAACATGACCTGTATTCACTGTATGCATATTCATACAAAACAGAGCCTAAAACATAACTGCCTCCTTTTATTTTCATTGAAAATACGAAATATACCCTCTTTTGCTGAATATCAGTTTTAATAATCAAAATAATCAAAAATGGCCGATTTAAAAGTATAACGTAAAATAGGTTTATAAAATATAAGAAATAAATGAATCAGTGTCATGGTTACATTAATATATTAACTTATCTTTGTGCTCAGCCAAAACACATTACCTGAGAACAAGCAATAGATTTAAAAGACCAAAGTCTGGGAATATGTTGTTCGATATAGACAACAAAATTAATTAAACGTTTAACAAATATTGTGAGATTAGATCCAGCAGTAGATTCTTGATGAACAGTCCAACGTGCAAAGCTCTTATTGCTGCAGTGCATGCCAGAGTGTGTGTGGTCACGTGATGTGCGTTTTCACCGGTATAGTGTGGACGGAGAGTTCTACAGAAGCGCAGGGTGAAACGCCAGTGTGGACACTGATCATTTTCATATGAAAACACCGTTTTAAAACTAAAACGTATTAGTATAAACGGGGCCTCAGTTTATCCAGGGTTTAGGATGACCCAGGATTAACAGTTTCAAGTGTGAAAAGCCCTTTAGTGTCAGTTGTTTTAGTGTCTGATAGATACAGAGCAATGCAAGTGCCATACGAAACCTTGACCCACTGTCCTATAGCCATGCTGTAGTCGAGGGCAGGTCAGGAAAAGAAAGTGCTTTTTGTAGATGTCGGAGGCCTTCCTGTAGGAAAACTTGAAATCTGATTAGCTGTTTCATACTGTAGTTTGAAGTGATAGCTTTAAGTAGTATCATTATGCAATACTAAGCTAGCCTGGGTGCCATATTGTCCGAACCTCTCTTCTTGTAAACAAGATTTGCACAAAATAGGTTGTCAACCACTAGTATGTTTTTTGCTTGGATATCGAGTAGAACATGATGCACTTTTTGTTTGGTGTGATTTACAGCAATAAAGTGACTTGAAGACATTTATCCATGCTCTCCATATTCCACTGGTTTATTTATTTTTTCCACTACGTCAGAGCGAGGACTGTGATGTCGGATGGTTTTATTTTTACCATGTAATGAGGTACTACTTTAGAGGTGTGTGAAAGATAATTAACACCTAAATAGAATGCATTTTCTCCTAACAATGAGCAAGATGGTTCCCAGGCTAGCAAATAGCAGAGACAATTTATTCAGTATTAGAAAGTGAGTATATAAATATACAAGCAGGTGAGTGGAATGCATGACGAGGTATAAGGATTTTCGCACAATATATAGTACCACCATTCACACTCATGCTCAGGACAGCATCCTTGTATAAAACCACTTGCACACTCACAATAAGAGCCAGAAGACATCAGAACATCATTCTGAGTTGATTTAGTTATATTACAAACTCTGTTTTCTATTTGAAGTCGAGATTTGTTTATAAAATAGCTTTAAACCAAGATATTTACAGCATTACATGTTGTGCTAAAGAAACAGTTACATTGTGCTTGTGTGTGCATGTGTGTGTGTGTGTGTGTTTTATGAAGTACGACCTTCAATTTGACCTTTCTTTATTGGTGTTTCTTTCCTCAAAACAGCTGGCCACATGCGAATGTCAAAGGAAATGATCAATACTAAAAGCTACTTCTATGGTAGATGCCAAAGAGTTAAAGTCAGTATTGGATTTAAGGCACACTGCAAAAAAAATCTTTATCAATATTTTCAACTGAAGTACTTATTAAAAAATCCTTTGAACTATTTAATTTGACATGAAAAGCATAGATTATAAATGTGCACACATTTATTATTCTAGCACCATTGCACTGCTTCCATATTTTGCTATTTTTCTATTTATTTATGCTGTTGAACTGCATTATGGGACCTTGATGTTTCCTCCAACAACATATGATGTTGACGTTTGAGAAAGTGACCCTTATTGAGATTTTCTTGTCTCTATTGGTGTTGTAAATTAGGGTACACAAACCTGATGATGAAATGATGATAATGAAATGCTTTTCTGTTCAAATACAGAATTAATTATATATTATTTCTTACAACATTTTGTTTCAAAATATTAAATATCATTAAATCAATAAATGTCACCTTGTTTAAGTCTGGAGTTAAATTTGAACATCAAAAGTCAACAAAGCAGACAGCAAGGTCCCAAAATACAATTCATAGCTGCGAATAAATGGAAGGAGCCTCACAGCAAGAAGGCTGGGCCAGTTGGCATTTCTGCCGGCAGCTAGCTCTATGCAACTCCCACATGGCCGCCCATTGAAGCTAAGCAGGGCTATGCCCAGGTTGCTGCTGGAAGTGATGCAAGTGAGACGAGCAGGGGGCGACCAACCTGCAGTCTCTGTGGGTCCTAACGCCCCCAATATATTGATGAAGAGTCTATACTGCTCAGTGAGCGCAGTCTTTTGGATGAGACGTTAAAACGAGATAGTGACTCTACGTGGTCATTAAAAATCCCAGGATGTCCATGGAAAAAGAGCAGGGGTTTAACCCCGGCATCCTGGCCAAATTAGCTCACTGATCTCTGTCCAACATGATCTCCTAACCATCCCCATATCATAATTGGTTTCATCACTCTCTCTCCTCTCCACCAATCCGCTAGTTATGTGTCCTGGTGCAATATAGCTGCTGTCGCGTCATCCAGGTGGATGCTGCACACTGGTAGTGGATGAGGAGATTCCCCCATTGTGTAAAGCGCTTTGAGTGTCTAGAAAAGTGATATATAAATGAATTAATAAATCCATTTGAAACAGTCCCTAAAAGTGATGCCGTGTCTTCAGTTTCTGAGGCGCGTTTTGCATTCGCACTATAAGAGTACCGTGCCAAAGCCCAACTGAACCGCACCACACCTCTTCCAACTGTGCATGAGCCGTTGTCAAAATCCTTGTCAAACGAATCAGGAAACACCCCGGGGCATGGTTCGGATAGCATAGTGTGAGTGCAGCCTTAAATTGGCTGTAGTGTATAAGTGTGTGTGTGTATGTGAATGAGTGTGTGTGGGTGTTTCCCAGTATTGGGTTGCAGCTGAAAGGCCATCTGCTGTGTAAAACATAAGCTGGATAATGTTATGTTGGCGGTTCATTCCTTTGTGGCGACCCCTGCTGAATGAATGGACTAAGCTGAAGGAAAATGAATGAATAAATAAAAGAATAATAGTAAATTAATGTTTTTTTCTGTACAATATGGTTAAATGTCTTTCAAATTTTAAACCTAAACTATTTGGCTATGTTTAAAAACCTACAGGGTAAATAAAACAAATACTGATTAATAAAATATATATGCAGCAGCGTAAATCCATGCTTTACATATTTCACATAGTGAAGCTAAATTATAAGCATTCAGTGTAATATGACAGGTCCATTTAATTATGCAAGGAGATTTCCACTTGCACACCTACCTAAAAGCCTGTATGAATTACAACAGGCAACTGACAACAAACCAACACTAACCACCCACCTCGAGTATCCTACATGATAATTAGTGATAGCGACAATCTCCCTCCTTTTGAAAATCAGAGCAGGGAGAATGGGAGAGGTGCGAACGAGAGCCAGAGACAAAGAAGGAACAAAGGAGAGGGTGTTCACCCACTCACCTCATCCATCACTCCACTCTGTGGGGGCAAATAAGAGTCCCTGATTAAATGAAGAAGGCATTATATGAGATGATTTAAATAAATTAAGCGTTTCATCAAGGTAGATTATTATAGCCAAAGTCAAACTCTTTCACAAGGAGGAATGAGATGATCTCCTTCAGATCGTCTAGTCTCTAAAAATACAGCAAAACTACGTCACGAAACCATCAGAAGACCCCGAGTCGCACACTTTGTTGTTTTAACCGCTGTCAGGTCGTGAAATGAAAATGGAGTCATTATTCACACTATTTCATGCAGCATCAAGGCTGCTTTCAGGTCACGTCCTCATAACCTCTTCAGTTGGGTTTCCGAGGGTAAAAAGTGAGTCAGCTCATGATTTCAGCTCTTCAGGAAAGAAGGCAAGACAGATATAAAATCGTGAGGTACTTTACTGCAAATGATCTTAGCCCTGCTAAGGTCATACCCGTTTAAAGTTCTCAGGTTGATTTCTGGAAAATGGTAGCAGTTTCTGTGCTGGTTTAAAAAGGCAGATCAGCACTAACCCGCTTGATCAAGTTGTCTGACAAGTCAAAAACAAGCATCCAACAACGGGCTAGTTAAAGACAGCTTGAAACCATGTAAAAACGTCTGAAACCAGATTAGAATTTTTTCAGCGGAGAAAGAAATGTTGCAGACATTACACAAATATAAAACTACTTCAGCCTTATCTTTTGAAACGCAATAAAACATTTCTGCTTAGCAATAAGCACCAGAAGTGTATGCTGATCAGCTAACAGCCTAATATAGGAATTATCATCTAAAATTAAATGGAACATTGTTAAAACTCAGAACACCTTGTTAATAGCGACACCAGTGGTCAACGTGCAAACTGCAGTCAGCAGCTTAAAGCTGATTTACACTTGATGCGTTTTGATAGTTTCTTTCTACAGTTATCCCCCCACCCCCCCTCAGATTGCATTAGTTTTTTATTGTAATAAGTTATCATTTTTTTTTAATTGTACTGCATTAGTTAATACAATATAGATTATATGAAATATTTTCAATTTTTTTAAATATTATGAAAGAATGGAAATGACCTATGACAGCTTTCATGTAAAATAGTTTGGTATATTTACCTTCAACCCACAGCTCTCAATGATATTTGGTTTTTGGCCTTCATACGAAAAAGTTTGGGCAACCCTGCTATAATCTATGTCGGCTCTAAGTAAATATTCATTCATTTTCTTGTTGGCTTGGTCCCTTTATTAATCTGGGGTTGCCACAGCAGAATGAACTGCCAAATTATCCAGCAAGTTTTGATGCCCTTCCAGATGCCCTTCCAGCCGC